ATTTGTATTAAATTTCAACGGCTTTCCAAACTAAGGGATTTAGCACCACAACCTTTCTGTTAACCATGCCCACTTGATTCGGCCATCTAAAAATATTTTATGTTCGCTCCACTAGTTTTGGCCATCTAGCTTTCAGCCATTTCAAAACATCAAAGAATTGTAAAATGTCCTAAGTCTTTCCATAAAAATTATTTCATGGAATTGAAATTATGATAGTTAAATATTTTAAAGTAATAAATTTGACTTGAATAAAATAATTAAATATAATGATAATGTTAAACAATTATATTTTTTTAATTTTAATGTAAAAGCGTAATACATAATATCTAACGTAAAATGGGTGAAAATATATATTACTCATATTGGTTCTTGTTTATTTGTTAACCTATTTAACAATTTTTTTTTTGTTTTTTTTAAATTCTATTTTTTGATATTACAGTAAGGCTGGTCTTTCTATATAGACTTTGCCTTTAATCCACCTCAATGTCATTTTTCAGTCATTAAAAATGTCATATGATCACTTAAATCCATGTCATAAGCCACCTAATCAAAGTTAACGGCAAAGAGTAACAATGTTAACAATTAATTTTAAATTGACAAATTTTTTATAGTATAAGGACTTAATTATCTAAATAATAAAATAGGATTGAACTCAATATTTACAAGAACTAAATTCAGAATTTAACTTTTTCTAATTCGTGAATTTATTGAATCCCTATTTCTTGAAGAATTTAAAATTCACCCTTCTTATACCTATTCACATCCATAAGTATACCTTTTTTTTTTTGGAATTGAGAGAAGATGATTTGAATTTTGCATTTTTAAATAAGGAGATTAATGTACCAACTAATGAGTTAAATACTCTGAATGTAAATCTATAGATATATTGAATCTTAATTAATTTTTAGAATAATATATACATTTCATTCTCACAATTTATATATAGCAAACCAAATCCACTTTCTCAAATTCATATTTCCAAGCATAATAAATTCTATAATGTTTAATTAAGTTATGCTCGAGGAATGCAAATTCAAATCCAAATCCCAATCCTCAAATACAAGTTCTCATGCCAACTTTTAATCTGGCTTCGAAAAATATATTGTTGTGACAAAATTTATATAACAACCAATCAAGAAATTATTAAATAAATTTTTTTTTGGTGAGCAAAAAACAAAACTTTGTTTATCATATTAACCTTAAATCTAATAAATCAACATGTGACACGTAACTAAAAATTATAATATAAAAATATATGAATCTAAAAAATTCTTACCGAATTTTTTTGTGTCAGATAAAAAATTTATTTTTCTTTGCTTATTTTATGAAACAATTGAAAAAGTGATTGGAGGCTTAGAGTTTTTTTTAATTTGCTAATATAATAATTTATATAGCCAAACTAAGTTGTAACCATAAATACAATAGTTGTATTTTAATTTAATTAAGTCTCTGAGAAATTAATTTTTTACTTTATTTTGACCTCTTTCAAGTAAGTCTAACTTAATTAATTATCTTTATTTAATCCCAATCATATCGCTTAATGTGTATGATCCATTAAGCTTCTAACATGTTGGCATCAAATATAAATACTAATGAAATATCAATTTGATAATTCATTTATATTTATAGACCATGAGCGACATTTAACAATACATCATGACCACTCAAATGTTAGAGAGTCAATTAAAAAATTTGACAAAGCCCTTCAGGGATAAGCCTCTCAGTGCAATATGGTCATTTTATCAAATATCCTGAATATGTCATTAAGTATGACTCGATGTCTACTTATGACATTCCATATTAGTTCTTATAATTCATGAGTAACTTTATAAATTTAAGAAACTAACTTTTCTCAAATTCATCATACTTTGGCTAAAGACTTTATACAAGTTAATCAAGAATTGAGAACAAGTGAGATACATCCCTTCATATCACTTGAGATGATAAATCCTCTCTTGACCACTCATTCACATTCGTATACTTCATGACATACTCAAAAACACTTTGTTTAGGCATTTGGTTGTTTCCAAACCCATAGAAGTAAAATCAAAGTATATTATTCCTCATATAAGATGACTTGGTGTCTCAAATCTAAAGATTAATTGCACGACTATCACATGAAAACATTTTTCATAAATATTTGAATGAAATACTAAATGAAATTCTCATAACGGATCATATTCCGTGAACTTGTTCTTTAACAAACACTTATATGTTATCATCAAATATCTCATATACTTCAATCTATGAGATTGATTGCTTACTTCTCAAGTAAAGAAGCTTATCATATACCAGTCTTTGAGTATTATCAATGCATTGTCTTAAAAATACAATGACTAGGAATAATTTTAGGAACATGACTTTAATGCATAATGATCTTATAATTATAACACCTTTACAATTCTCTTGCAAGGTTTTTATGTTCCATGAGCTTCATCAAATTAGTTAACAACTCTTTATTATTGCATTAACATGAAAAAAAACCTCTATGACATATAATTATATAATTAAATATATATTAAATAACAATATATAATCCTTGACCAATCTAAGTGGCTCAAGGGCATATACCAACACCATGGCACTCAATGCCTCGAGAGGTGCCATAGCCTTGCTCTATCCTATTCAACAATACCGGAAAATACCTTTACAGTAGGCAAAAGTTATGGGGAGGGTTTAAGAATGATGTTGGTGATTCATATATTTTTATGTTTTTTCTTACACAAATATTCCAACTACAGCATAATCATATACAAAATTATTCAGTTTGTCAAATGTTAATCATTGCCACAACATTTCTGGTTTTTAATTCGGTGCAGCCTGTTATAACAACTCACTCGCTTCATATGCACTATTGTGCAGTCTGAACTTCACTAAAAGAATGACGACGCTTTCCAAAATCAGCTGAAGAATACACTACACATAGTCCACCTTTTGTTGGGAGACCTCAAATCGACAGCCTTCAATGATGTCACTTCATACATCAACTGGCACGTCCTTGTTTTGAGGCCTAAGCTATGCCAGTCCCAGCAAGATCCTTCACAAAAGTCCTTAGGCACCCATTGATTACTCGTGGTGCTGCCCCATCACAGAACCGCTTTGCAAGATCAACAGCCTTCACAGAGCACACAATGCATAATTTACTTATAAAGCCAGTGCCTAATGGTTGGAAATATGCTAAAAGAAAGTTAACATTCATTGATGAGGGAACATAAAAAGAGAGCTACCTCATTAATGACAATCTGATGCCGTGTTCCAAGAACAGTCATCTCTGACATTGCCAGGTGAAGAATACAAAACTCCAAAATCCTACCTGCTGGCTCATTCTACATGGAATCAATATATATAGATGTAAGGTATCTACAGGCAATAGCAAATATAATGAATTATCTTGTAAAAACAGTGTAAAAAGGTTGAGTATTATGTAAGAAATTCATAAGAAATCAAAAGGGTCAGGGGAGTGATGGACATTTAAATCGAACAGAATGTAGACAAATATCTACCACACAGATTAAGATAATTGAAGGCTCAAATCCAGAAAAAAAAATTGAAAAATTCACTTCATTATCAACAATCAAAGTAGCATTTTAAACTACATAGTCAGACCTTCCAATTTGACGGGGCAATTTTATCAATAACAAGGACATGACTGTCCCATTTGTCCACAATTGCTACCAGCAGTTTCCTTGTGAAACTACAAGAAAGAACAAGAGGACAGTTAGAAGCACTATCTCCCTCAAATGTGTGAGAGCATGCGCACGAACATACACATAAAGACCACCAATGCTTTGTTTTTTTATCAAGTATTTTAGAGGGAGGAGGAATCAAATCCGTCTTTTTGAGCAGATGAATACATGCACCTACCATTGAGCCAACTGCTCAAGTACTCAACAATGCTAGTTACATAATGATGCAATACACAATCAGAGGGTTTACCGCAATAGTAGCTTGCTGTACACCAACTTTGGAGGAGCTGAAAGAACTTCTGCCTCTGAGATATGACACAGAAAATCAGCAACTTGAGCATGTAACAAGTCAACCATTGAAGAGTACAGTAAACAAAGATAGAAGTTAATGGCAAGGAAGGTGCACATATAGAATGGAGAGGCAATTGTTGTGGTTAAGTACCAATTGCAGAATCCTGCTCATCACAGCGCAAAAGCTCATCCGCTTCTTCAACGGATTGTGTAGTGACAGGAGGGCCTCCAAAGCTCATGTGATTGTATTGCAATAATGAGGCCTTGTCAAATTCATAACCAGGTTCTTTCAATTCAAAAACAGAATGAATCAGTATTCTTACAAATCTCAAGTCCTGAAATAAAGTTGTAGCGCTTGTATGAAGCAAAGCAGATAGAAAAGGTATATATTACGCATACCTTTTGTTGCATTAACTCGTTTCTCAAATAGTCGAATAGGGTCCGAGCCTTGTAAACACGCCGCATAAACTATCAATCTGCCCAATATCCCAATGTTGAATTCAACTCAATGATGGAAGCAAAAGACAAAAAAAGCAAGAAAAAGAGAAAGAGAGGGAGGGCATACAAAGCAAGCTCCCGGGCGGCTCTGGGGCTGCAAAAGCGGCCACTCTTGTCAATCTTTGGGAGCATTTCTTTGGATTTGTGAAACGATTGTTGGTCCCGGACCTGCACGGCCAGGGCAGGGAGATAGCTTCGAATTGTGGGGCTTGAGGTGAATCGACGCTTGGCCGGCAGTGGCAGTGGCAGCAGCAACCGGCACAGAAATGGATACTCCAACGCCTGATGATGTAATCTGAAATAAGTTTTAGAAGAATAGCAGCTTAATACACAGCTTGACCGGATTCCCTCCATGTTTTGCTTTGCCCGCTCTCACTGCTCTCTAACTTTCTACTGTCTACTGACGATATATCCGGTTCGGCTGAATTTGTAAATGATGAGAAAAAATATCTTGCATAAGTTAAAACGACAGCGTTTTTCTCCCGGAAAGAAACGACGCATTGTTTAAGCCCTGAAACAAAGGCATGCCCCCTCTCCCCTAGTCGCTCCCAGACCCAGTGTAGTTGGAGTTGCCTCTGGCTGGCCCTCTGCTGCGTCACAACACAGAAACTACGTAATACTTTGGGTGACAATCGTCGAAAGCAAAGCAGAAAGAATTTGATTGCACAAGATGAGAGTATATTTCAATTTTATGTTCATTCTCCTTGGGTTATGCATAGCTTCATGTTTTAGATCAGCTTCTTGTGCTGTCAAACACCCCTTCGTCGGAATTTCTCCTCAAGGTCCTCTTTTCGTCGTTCTTTAATGTTTAATCTATTAATTAATTGATTGTGAAATTTTACTTATTCTGATTGATTGATTGATTGGTATGATACCCAGATGAGAAGTACTACAAGTCATCATCGGATACCATCAAATGCAAAGACGGATCCAAGAAATTCTCCAAATCCCAGCTCAATGATGACTTCTGCGATTGCCCTGACGGCACCGATGAGCCTGGTCTGCGCTCGCTCCTCTCTTCTTTTCTGCCCCTGGGCCTTGCAAAATGTTGCTCCATTCCCCATCTTCTTAACCTTCATTTGCTCTCATAGGTACATCGGCCTGCCCAACTGCAAAATTTTACTGCCAAAATGCGGGACACCTTCCGCAATTCTTGTTTTCTTCTAGAGTGAATGATGGTATCTGTGGTAAGTGTGTTACTCTATTCTATTACTTCTAAGTGCACTGCATTGCGTTTATGGAAATGGCTGATTTTTTTTATTTCTTTTGCTACATATGAACTCCCACGCCCTAAATAAAGTCCAATAGAATCTGATCCATCCTTTCATACCCTCTGTTTTTGAGCTGCTTTTCACTGACTTACAATCTCCAGATTGTTGTGATGGGAGTGACGAGTATGATGGTCAAGTGAAGTGCCCCAATACCTGCTGGGAGGCTGGCAAAGTGGCTAGAGATAGGCTGATCAAAAAGATCTCTACATATAAGGAGGGGGTTACACTGCGAAAGCTGGAAATTGAACAGGCTAAAATAGCTATAGCCAAAAATGAAGCAGAACTAACAAAGCTTAAAGATGAGGTGAAGATATTGAAGGGCCTTGTTCAAGAGCTTAAAGGTATCTCTTTTCTTAATCTGCTGCATCTTCTTAATATTTATTGATATTCGTCATATTATCATTTTGATTTTGACAAGATTGTGTGTCAAAATCTAGTTTGAATTGCATGTGTATACTGAAATGTTGTCTTTATTTGCTCCTGAGGTTGTGTCTAATGTGAGTATCATCATGACTGGTGACAGAGAAATGTTTTGTGCCTGATTAAGATGTTAAATGCTTTCCCATGTGGCATGGGATCTACTTTTCTGAAACAAGATTTTGTTCTCAAAGCTCAAATTGGTGGTGTCATCATTTTTCTCATATGTCCGGTAAGCTAAAAATATAAAGGACGCTTGCATAGCAAATGCCATCATGATCCTAAATCTCAACTCTTATATGCTCTTAAATATGAGTGCAGAGATGGCTTAATTATAATTTATAACTAAATAAGTAGTATATCCTGAGTGCCACCAATATAGCTCTTGTGGGGCTAGTACAAGGGCATGATCCCACACTAATGAGAGGCTTTAAAGACCAGGTTCAAGGCACAGAGAAAAGAAAGGTGATTACCCTACTTAAGGTGTGTTCATAGGTGGGTTTCAATTCAACTCAACTCAATTTGTCCAGCCCTTTCTTCTATTAACTATGGTGCGATTTACCAAGCATTTGACGACACTTTGTCCTGTCTAATGTTAAATCTTCATGAAATTTTTGGCAATTAAATTGTCTTGCAATGTATACTGATGTTGTTTAGCTTTCCGTGTGTCCTTTGGCTATCTTCAAGGTTAATTATACTGCTTCCCTTTTCCCTTTGTACCACAAGGCAGTTTATGCTTCCAAGTAATCTATGATATTTCCCTTCATTTTTGTTTACCTAGTTTTCAATGGGAAGGAGTAGTAATTGAACCATATTGGTATTTTCAAGCTAAAGCATATTCAACTCCAAGATCAATACAAAAATATATCACACAAGAGAGACAATGTTTAGCGGTGTTTGACACCCTTTTCCTACATCCATGGACGGGAGGAAAAAATTGAATATAAATGTAGAGATTACAAAGAGTGTGAAACACCCAAAAATAAATTCTAAACTTGAGACCCAAAACAAACCTAGTTCTCATGCTCACTATTGTTTAAACCCATGGAATATCATTTATCTCATGCAAATTGATATTTTCCACTCTTTCTCACACCCCTACAACTCTGTGAAACGATCATGAAAATCTCATCACTAACATAGAGATTGCATCTCTTTCATAATTTTAATGGCTAAGACCCACTCCATATTTATAGAGCCCATTATTTGATCACCTAACGCTAAGAACTCTTACCTATTAGGTATGTTTATCCCTTAAATAGACTTAATTACCAAGTAACTTTCAGCCAGTAGAATTCTATTGGGATGCTGAATGATTCCCAATTAGAATTTGTCAAATATCTAACAAACCCAATGCTTATGCCATAATCTGGGAAGGGGATTATGAAATTGGACCATTAGATTAGAAAATTTTTCAAGCGTTCCCCTTTCATTCTACTGTCTACCTACCAAGCAAAGCATTAATCTTCAATTGGTCACCTTATTCTTTTATGATTATGGTCATTGTTTTCTGTGTGCTTTTTTATTTTCTTTCAATATGCAATCATTTTTGTATTATCTATGTTGTTGTAGTGTACCTTCTTTTTATTATTTCTACTGTCCTCTTTCTTGAACTACCTATTTCTTAGATGTCTAACATTTATTCCTCAATGTGTGACTTTGGCCTGTTATATTAAAAAAAATTTCCTTAACCTAAAGAGGTATTTTATGACTGCAAAGCATTTGTCATGGTGTTGTAATCTAGTCTAGCATATCTTCTTTCTACCAGAATATTTTCAGATCTTGGGTTTGAATCTAATATCAATCATGGGTCAGTAAACAGGTGGAGGAAGGCTACTCCATTGTTTTATAAGCCAAACAATGATTTTTATCATTATTTTAAAATAGCTAGCAAAGCACTTGTCAAACTCAATCCTTTTTAACCTCTTTATCACTTGAGTAGGTGTTCAAAGTACACAAGTCTAGCCTTTATGCATGATTTTTGTTTCTCTTCTTTATTATTTATCTTTTCAAATAAGGTGCGATTCTATAATAATTGAAAAAGAAAATTTTAATGATTTTCTATCTTTATTGTGAGTCATTATTTGTTTTGGGTACTACAGGATTGAATATTTCAAGTTAAGAAGTGTTAAAAATGTGAAGTAGCTAGAATGCAGTCAAAACTGTTGCTATATAGAAATTGCGAATCTCTTTTGCATAAAACGCTATAAGAATTTTTACAACACTTAATTTATTCCATGCCTGCATATCAAACAATTTACAATACAAATTCAGCATTTAATTTTTCAGCATCAAAGCTTTTAGTTTATCAAATACCACCTATAGTGTATATCTATGGTGGGTTCATTCGTGTGGTGTTCATAAGTTGACCTAAGTGTCCACGAACCGAGCCTACATTGCCCTTGACCTTATACATGTAATATTGAGCTTATTGCGACATGATTTGTTTACTTTACCTCGCGTAGAACGTAAAGAACAGATAGAGAAGGCAGAGGAGAAAGAGAGGCTGCAGAAAGAGAAGGAAGAGAAGGAAAAAAGAGAAGCTGAGGAAGCTTTAAGGGAGAAAAGGAAAGCTGAGGAGGAAGGGAAGGTGGAAAATGAAAACGTTGAGCAAGAAGCCAGAAGTGAAGACAAACCAACAGAAAGTACACATGATGATACAATTGGCAACATCAAGGATTCTTCTTCAAATGAGGTCAGACTTTTTCTCTTTAAAGTTCTCTTGTAGTCTCTTTAGAAGACTGCACATCTTATTTTTTCTGTTTTTTTTCTCATTGTCTTTGTCATTATCATCCTTGTGGCAGGACCCCAAAGTACATGACAGTTATGATGATCCAGCAGCAGAAGTTGAAAATGATGATACTTCCAAAACTGAAGGAGCTCCACTTAATAGTGTAGAGGAGGTAAGCTAAGACTTTCTGTTGTAGTTCCGTTTTTTCACATAGAACCTCCAAATGGTTGTCTGCTGTAGTTCAATGTTGACAATGACACATTTTTACTTTATTCCGTAGCATGTGTTAGAAAATGAGCATGGGCCTGCTTCGGCAAAACGCGAGGATGATTCTGCTGTTGCAGCTGAAATTGATCATGATGCTGGAAGCAAAGTATCACCTGATGAAGTCAAGAAAGTGGTAATTTTCTCTAGTCACCAAGTTTCCTTGTTTGTCACAAGCTTAGTAACCTTGTAATTTGATAAAATAAGCGCTATTAAATAGGACTTGGGGGATAAGCACTGTTAAGTTGCTTTTTGGTAATAAATAGTTGAAGCATGCTGCTGGAAAAGTTTGATAGAAGAGCTTATATAACTTGGATCTTGGTTACACTGATTAAAATAAATCAACAAAACTTGCATTAGGAGCAAGAGACTAAGGGACTAGGAAGTGCGTTAGGAAGGGGAAAGAGAGATCAAATAATGAAATAAGGTTTCTAAAAAGTGAATAGAAACAGGATAAGCTGGCTATTTGGTTTAATTAACAAGAATTTATCCTGCATTGGTGTAAAACATGTTTCTTTTATAGGCTTGTGGAAGAGGCAGCTTAATTTTAGATCCATTAGTATCAGCTA